GGGTTCGGTGCATGGGGGGGGGGAGGGGGCATGGTGGGGCCTGGTGATTGCATGGAGTGGCTGTCTGGCCGACTGGCCATCTACTCGTAAAGTGATGTAGCCACTTGCTTTTTCAATTGCCTGGCTGTGTGGCTGCGTGACGGTCTGACATTTTTGCATGGATGGTCCGAAGACAACGATGTCAGCCCCACTTTTCCACAGTCTTAGTCGACCACACAGCTGCGGCACGCAGACAAGTATTTGGCGAATGGAATGCATTATGTTGCATGCGAGCATCCCTCTTCCCTGTCTAGTTGTGTTCACGTTTGTCGGCGGTGGATACATAGGTTTTGACATGCGTGCATGGGTATCGTGTCGGTAGACAAAGAAGACAAGACCCTCGTGTGTGTTGTGCAGCCATAGTGTGTCTGTGCAGCATGGACGGATGGATGGATGGATGGATGAATGGACGGATGAGCGAAGATTCCATCATGGTGGCCATGAGTGGTGGTCAAATGGTCAGTCTATCGACACTGCACAAAGGCCGCCCCACTAGCCTGCCCTCTGTACACGACCGTCAGTCCTTTGACTCACTCCAGTGGGCTGAAAATGACCCGCGATAGCGACCCATTCGCCTCTGCACGCACCTGGGTCACCTGCACACACACACACACACACACAACACACACACGGGGCAGTGCACTCAGTCGACAGACACACACTGTGGGCAGATAGCTTACCATGTTGACGGCGAGGACCTCTTTGTCGCCCTCCATCAAAGTGGCCGCCAACAATCTGACGAACGCCAAACAACCAGGCTATGGCGTGTTGCATGGATCCTGTATGTTTTGTGGTGTCCAAGGTGGGCCCACCCGATGTTTGCCAGGACGTCTTTCGGGATGCCCTCTGTCGATATCTGATCTACCTGAACAAACACCAGAATGAATGCAGCAGACCAACCAATGACGTGCCAGCTGGCTCGTGTGGGTTTCTTAAATCGATATCGGCCTACCGAGAAGGTCATTACGTTGCTGCCGACACTGTAGTCGGCCGCATCGGTCTCTCCAAGGTCTGCACACACACACGCAAGCGCAATGAATCCTAAGATCCCTTTCCCTTCTCATTTGCTCACATATGACTTTGCGTGTGTGGACGGTGTCCACAGTGTAGGTGATCTTCCATCTGGCGGCAGTGAAGGCCCTCTTACTGCGGAAGGCAATGGAAAGATGCAGAGGGCTCTCGAGTGGGCACTCGTTTGGGCTGATCTCGATGCTCTCAATGGTGACGTCATCCTCATCGCTCATTCCGTGATCTCACTGCGTCCACAGCAAAATGCGCGCTTATCTCGCGAATTCTCGCCGAGACGGCCAGGTTTTGTCTCGGCCGCGCGCGCGAATATTATATTCTGGATTGAGATTCAGTTGGGAGGAAGAGCTCGGCTGGCCTCGTGTTAGGGGTACCTCGTGTATCCTGTTCGACACTGTCAGTCAGCGGATTCTTTTTGCTGAACGTTTTTCGTGAGAATTTGACCACGCCGGCATGCCCATCATCACAGGAGCCCCACGGCCTCCGACGTCTTTCCCCTGGCAGTCTGGGAAGAAGGCGCCCGCCTTGGTGGGGATGCCCTGGACGGCAATTCGGAGCAGGGCGACAAAGCCATCCTTCAGGCGCTCTACCACGACCGTAAGCAAGCCCTAAGAAAGACAAGCACGTCCATGCTCTGTCTGTCCGTCGGCTGTCAGGTTTGTCAAGGTACAACGTCCAGACGCTGTACGAGGAGGTCAAGGGCGTCATGAACATGCTGACATTCTACCAAGGTATGTAAGTGAACGATATGATGCACAGCAGCAACACAACACGTGCACTCAGTCCACACATTGCCTGCCGTTGCGCTTTGAGTTAACGTTGTCCCCCCCACTCAGTCCACACATTGGCTTGCCTACAAACATACCTGTCTGCCTGTCTGTCCGGCCCCGTGTGTGTATGTGTGGACATACAGACGACATCAAGACCCGTGCCTGCCGAGAGCGCCTGGACAGGAAGCGGGCGTTCAGGCTGGAGCAGCAGAGGGACGTACGGTCTGACCGACTATTGACTTGTTCTCATTGTGTGTCTGTCGGGTGGTCGATTTGTTAACTAACGTTTCGCTCCCTCGTGTTGGTTGTCCTTTGCACGACGAGTTGAAGGTGGAAGTCATACGGCTGAAAGAGGTAGGCATCTCGCCCGTTCACTCACTCGAACGAAACTATTTTGTTTACTCACTCACTCATTCACTCTGCCCTGTGCCCTTCTGTCCTCTTCAGGTCATCCGGAACCTCAACGGCAACACGTCAGCGGCGGCGGCCTCGCAGCCAGCGGCCGAGGAGCTGAACGACGAAGCGGTATGTCCACCGCCACCGCCACCCCCGCCTCCACTTCCACTTCCACCGCCTCCCAGATTTCTCCGGTAAGTGCAGCTGTAAGGGGCCAGGCGCAATACACGATGGTAAAACACCTCAGCTGTGTCATGCCTCTTCAGTGTGTTGTATCTGGGTTGAGGTGGGAGCCGGGCAAGGAGGCTTGGCTGGCACTCGTGTAGCGTGTTCGTCAGCGTTTGTTTCTGCAGCAGGAAGCCCTTCGTGAATTCGGCCACACCGGCATGCCTTTCAAGACCGGAGCCCCGCTACCTCCGCCGCCTCCCCCATGGCAGTCCGCCAAGGAGGCGCCCCCCCTGGTGGGGATGCCGTTGAAGGCCATCCGGGACCAGGGCGACCACGCGACTCTCCAAGCCCTCTACGTTGACCGTAAGGCGGCTGACAAAGGCACATCCATCAGCGCTGCCATGATGGAGAGCCCATGCTCTGTCTGTCAGGCCTCGCCAAGTACAACGCCAAGACCTTATATGAGGAGGTCAGGGACCTAATGGACGAGCTCACATTCTACCACGGTAAGTAAAGGATACACAGCATTAACACGTGCACTCAGTCCAGACACTGGCTTCCCTGCCTGTGTGTATGACCGGCCCCGTGTGTGTATGTGTGAAAATACAGAGGACATAGAGTTGCGTGTCTGGCGGGAGCGGATGGTCAGGAAGCGGTCTTCCAACCTGGAGCAACAACGGGTACGGGACCGACTCTCTGTTATTTTTGTGTGTGTTGGGTGGTCGATTTGCTAATGTTCCTCTCCCTCGTGTTGGTTGTCCTTTGCAGGACGACTTGAAGGCGGGGGTGATACGGCTATCAGAGGTATGCATCTCGCCCTCGTTCATTCACTTTGTACACCTCTCAGACCATCGAAAAGCTCAATGGCGGAAGGGCAGCGGCGGCGCGGATGAGACGGTCTGTCAACCCCTACCGCCACCGCCACCTCATACATTCATGAATTGAAGTACGGATGATGGCAGTTCATACAAATGTATGTATGTATGTCTGCATGTGTGTGTGCAGGGCAGCAGCTGATTGCGGGTGATGGAACCACGAAATTCAGGTATCTCACGTCACCAAATGCGTTGCGTCCTCTGGAGGGGCCGCGTGGGGAGGGTAGCCACGCACACCAGGTGTGCGCATGTGTTGTGTGTTGCATTGCATTCATTCAGATGTTAGTACGACAAATGTGACATGGAGGGTGTCACGAAAGAACGGACACTGATGTGACCTTTTGCTACGCGTCTCCTGTTTCATCTTGCTCAGGTCATCAATGTTGAGGCGGACATCACAAGTGTCATATCGCTGGCTACATTTTATATTCCGACGTCTGTGGAAACCAAGAGACACGCCCCGTCTTCGTTCATTACTGGCCTCCATAATGGTAGGGGATACGATTCGTAGGGAGGGATACACACGGTAGGGGAGCTGGCGGCGATTGCTCTGCATGTGTGTCTCTCATCCCAGCTTGAGGCACATGCACCGCTTCTCCGTGACCGAGACAGCAAGGAAGAGGTGAGCACACGAATGTATGTATACCCTTCCACTTTGTGTTTGCGCGCGATGGTTGCAGATCAAGTGGGCCATCCCCAAGGGCGACACAAAAAACCACACACTGGCACACAGGGAAGTGACGAAAGGAGCAAGGCGAATGCGCTTAACGTGGGAAAGGTGGTCAGGAAGCCGCTGACGTTGAAGGGCCGCCGTCTGCCCCAACTTCGACCTGCACGAGAACCCATTCACTCGCAGACACGCGGATGTTTATGTGTTTATATGCGTGTGCAGGAAGTTCGTCAGGAGAAGGCCGACACCCGTCATCTGATCGACAACATCAATGGCCAAGTCGACAACATCGGTTCAGCACAGCAGAGGACAGAGGTGGGCGAGGGAGGGAGGATTGACGCACGTGCATGTGTACGTCGATTCGGTCATGCAGGCGGACCTTGACGGCTTGATAGTGATCTATCAAGAGGACTGCGGATTAAAGGCGCGCAGCATTATCGACAGCATCAGACGAGTGTGCCGGGGTGAGTGAACGTGATCAGCTCACACCGATGCGGCACGAGCAATGTGTCTCTTCGATTGGGTCTGCAACGTGGGCCATCAAATACGAAGATTCCGACTTTATCGGTCCGTCGTGCAGCTCCCGGCATGTTCGATGCATCCACATGTGTGTGTCCGTGTGATGTGAAATCAGCGCTGCACAGCTGGTCGGACGCCATCTGTGAGGAGAGCTTCTGGGGCCGAGCTGTCCGAGAAGATTCGCGACGTCACTGACGCAGGAAAACGCAGGAAAACGCGCCCTCGTCCTTGGGATACTTCCCCAGTGAGTGTATTTGCTCGATCAGCCTACGACACAGCACATCTCTTTCTCTATGCTCTGTCTCTCGACAGTTTGGAGGAAGAGCAGGCGGATGTGTACACAACGCCATCAAGGAGCGGCCAAGGGCGGCTGAGACTCTCTCCATTCCACCCATCCCACCATGCCCCTCAAGGGCGTCAAGAAGCTGATACAAAAGTCCGAGACGACCATGAGGAGAAGCCAGAGGAGCGGCCGACTCGCAGCGACGATGCACCCCATGGCTTTGTGGATTCCTGTGGTTCACTGAGATATTCGGCTACATGCTAGACTTTTCTGCCCGCAACCACCAGACCAACGAACACATCACTCTGCGCCTGGAGAGCGTCATTCCTCGGGTGCTGGAGTATTTCGAGGTGACGGGCGGAGCTACGTACCTCTTGGCAGCTTCTCATCATCATCTGGCGCTGCTGCCCCAACTAAGACCTGGCCGCATACGTCAATGGGTGGACGCACAGATGCATGGATCCAGTGCAAGATGTGTTTGGTTCAGGTGGGAGTGGTGTATAATTATCTGGTGATGGTGCGTCGTGGTGCCCATCTGCATCCTCATCCAGGAGTCGGGTCTGGAGCCCCTCATCGTTGACGGCTGCGTCGTCATCTACAAGGGTACAGATGGGCACTGGTGGATACAGACGGTCGACGGCCAGCCCGACATCCGCATACCCGGCCGATACGGCACAGCAGAAGAGCTGTACGGGCTCAACAATCAACAAAGGGCGGCGCTGCGGGGGGACGACCGTCCGTCCCGAGAGGACGACAACGAGACGATGCGCCAGCAGGAGGAGGATGGGGAGCAGGAGAGGGTGGACAAAGCCAAGGCCAAGGTGGCCAACAGCCACATGGATAGGGACAAGTACAAGCCGTTCATCGACGGCATCCTCCACAACGGCCCCCTGCTGCCGTAAGTGTATGGGAGGCACAGAGAAAAAACATCCATGCATGTCTCTATGTTTTTTTACGTGTGGATGTGTGTTCAGGGGCCAGGGGAGTGAGCATGTGTTGAGCGTGGCGTATTTGGTGTCCGACCCCACCCGCGGCGTCAGCCTGCTGCCGACACTCTTCGGAGTGGCTGGGACTTCACAAACGCCCAGCTCGACCGCGTCCTCGAGAAGTGAGCGAATTATAGAAGACACGGGTGACTTGAACCGATGGATGACCTGCATGTGTGTGTGTTGTTGGGTCCTGCTCAGGTTCGAGGAGAAGCGCCCGTGCCCGCGCCGCGCCAACGAAGGCGAGGACAGCCGTGTCGAGCGCCGCCTCCGCAACGCCGCTCGCTACTGCACCAACCGGAACACCATAGGCCACCTGCGGCTCTCAGACACGTTCCGGCAGATGCAGGTCGAGGCCAAGCGCAATACACGGGCGGCCCGGAGGGGCGTCGACGACTAAGCTGCGGATGTATGGTGCGTATCCATCGGTGTCTACATTTTATATTTCGAGTATTGGATTCGCCAGGACCACGTAAAGTGATTCAGTTGGCCACATGGTGTGATCATTCGTGCAAGGAGACGGCACTACATGATGTCTGGTCAGGTGTTGTGAAGGTTGTAGGATAACTTTCCGTACGTGTGGAAGGTGCTTTCGGTGTGGACGTTGTTGACCCAGCCATGTACAGCGTATTGGATTCAACTATGGGATACGTACGTCTTGATGATCACACGACACGCGCAATAAACCCGCAGGACACACACCCATATGTACACATGGACACATGCCCAGAAACCGGCAGGCGACCGAATTGGCATACTAATCATCATCATTCGACTAAGAAATGCTCACTACATGCACCGATCCGTGCATCTACTCATCCTTTAACCCTTCCTGTCCCGCATTAGTCTGTGGTAACTCTGACATCACTCAGCGAGTCGGCATGGACGGCATCCATGCCACAGGCGGGGCACCGAAGCACCGCATACCGACGCACCTCCTCAGGCACCGGCCTGCCCGCCGCCTCCAGCCGCTCCTTATCCGCCTTGGCCCTCTCATGTCTGTCGCGCCACTCCTGCCAACACTCCTCACACAGACACGTCTGCTTGCACGGAAACTGCATTCAACACGCAGACAGAAGACACATATCTGTACGATGCAGGACTGCGTGCGTGTGTGATTATGCCGTACGAATGTGATCACGGGCGGCTTTTTGTCGTCACGGCACGCCACACAACTCCCCCTCTCGACGGCTGCATCACCATTGTCATTGGCCGATGGCTGCTGCTGCTGCTGTTGCTGGACCAGGTGCTGGTGCTGTTGTGGCTGGGAATGCGTATCCTTCTCGTCCCCCTCGAGCAGCGCCTCCCGTTTGCCGACTTCGCGGGAGAGATCACGGAGCGCCTCTCGTGCGTGCTTGATGTCCTGCTTGAAGGCCTCGATGGCGGCAGCCGTCTTTAGGGAATGCAGACGATCCACTGTCAACCTGACAACAACCGGCAAGACGTGTTTGTGCATCGTATGGATGCGTGAATGTGACTGTCGGTCACCCACCCAGTGGTGACTTGGTTTCGCATGACAGCGTACTCGCGCTGAAGAGATTGTAGCACCGTCTGAAGCGACCTACATTCCACGGTCACCGTCGTGATGGCCTCCTCCAACCTGCACATCACATCCAGCATATACAGGCACCAATGAAGTGCTGCGTCATGCTGGCCAGATCAGCATAGCTGAGTTGGCTCACTCACTCTCGTATGGCGATATTCAGTTTGTAGTGCATCTGGCGCAGCTCCGTCTCTGTTGACGGCAGCGCCTCCTGCGAGCGATCGGACGACGACCTGCCGGACACACACAGGGCAGGACAACATGCACACGACGACTGCCCATTCTGCCTCCATTTCCCCTCACCCAGCAGCAGCAGCAGGAGGCTGTGTCAAGGAGAATGCAGTGGCGTCTTGGTTGAGGAGGGAGTTGTCAGAGAGGGGGCGGGGCTGCCCTCGTGGTAGTGCCTTGGCCCCCATGGCCATATCATACAGCGTGTCGAGCCGCTGGTCCTCCTCCCTGATGCGTGTCTCAAAGGCACGCACCTCAGCCGATGTCTTCGACGCAAATAAGGCGTCACGAGTCAACCTGACCGACAACAGGACACGCACACAGAATGACTAACGGCTTCATTCTCCCGTCTGTCTGTGCTGATAACGTACTCGGGGGGCACGCTGCTCTTCAGTGTGTCGATGGCCTCGCTCAGCTGCTTGGTTCGCTCCTACAGACTACAGCAATGCTGCAACAGGGCAGCGTTCTGCGACTCGAGACTGCACACATGACATACACGCGTCGACACGATGAAGGTCCGTGTGCCCTCCTTTCTTGCTCTCACCGTTGTTTGTTCGCTATGGCGTCCCTCACATCGCTCTGCAGCTGTGCGACCACCTTGGCAGCCTGCTCCTCGGCAGCCCTCCTAGTCACAGCGCCTATGTCCTCGCCACCACCCCCCTGCCGTCCCCCCGATGGCCCCCTCTCCCACTCTGTCCACGCAGCTTCCATCTCGACCCAACTGGAATCATGCGTACCGAATGCTGCACCACTGGCTGCTGCTTGGGCGATTGGCCGCTGTGGTGGGACGGGGGTGGACGGGGTGATGGCATTGGTGGGCTGAGAGAAGGGTAGACAGGCCCCCGGGTGCCGTCGCCTTGTCTGTGCCTGCGGCGCCTTGAAGGTGGTGGTGGTGGTGGGCCCGCTCTCCTTGGGGGCTTCGTCTTTGTGATGGCGTGAGGGTGATGGCTTGGATGAAGGGAGAGGGGGAGGAGGGAGAGATGGCATAGACGCTGGGGGCGGCTGGGAGGGACGGAGTGTCGGAGACGCAGGGCGAGCGGCAGGGGGCTGTGGCCGGGGAGTGGGCGCATGCTCCTGCACCAGACGCAGTGGGGCAAGCGGCTCCTCCTCTGCTGCATCCTTCTTGTCATGTTGATCTTCGTGTGAGGGGTCCGCGGGCTCAGGTGGACAGGGCGTGTCGCTAGCAGACGAAGCAGATAGTGACGTGGCGGATAGAGATGTGGTCCTGGTGATGTCGCGGCTGACATGTTTGCCAGCACTGATATCGTCGGTGAACGTCGCTCCCTCCTTGCGTACGTGAGCATCACCCCCACTGCCGTCAGGCCCACCAGAAGTACTATCATCAAGTGGGCAGGCCGGTGACGCAGAGCTTGACGACGCAGAGACCGCCTCCTGCCGGGATGCCGATGAGGCCGACGGCTCGGCCTTCGCCGATGCCTTCTTCTTGCCCTTCTTCTTGCGACCTTGCGACACCAATCGTGCAGTGGCGAGCGCCTCATGTGTCGCCTCCTCATCAAGCCTCGTCTCATCCGCCATGCCCCTGGCCTCTGCGTGGTCGCCTTGATCGTCTCTGTCGTTGCCTTCGGTCGGCATGGCGGCAGCGACGGCCGATTCTGAAGCATTGGGTGATGCTTGAGCTGTTTGATGGGAAGGGGTGGTGGGACGCCTTTCAGATCTCTGACGCTGCTTGCTGCCGGCAGTGGGGGTCCTTGCCCGCTCGGCTGCCTCCTCAGCGACGAGCTCCTCTTCGTTCCGCCGCGCTTCTTCCTCCATTGCTCGCAGCCGCATTGCCTTTGCGTCAGCGCGCCACGACTGGAAGAATCTCAGGGCAGGAGGGCCGGTCTTGTAGAGGATCAATAGCACGACCACGACGCACACCAAGGCGAGAAAGAATCCCTGAAAAATGTAAAATGATCAGCGCCATCCCCCCGTGTGCATCCCTCCATCCATCCACAATACCTGTGAGTGAGTCCTCCATGCATCCAGTTCCTGCCTCACTGTCGGGGCCGGCTCTGGCGGCAGTTCAGACTGTGTCGCCGACGGCGTCGCGTCCATGCTCTCCTCCACAAAGTCAGTGAAAGTCAGTGAAGTCACTGCCTCCCATCCGGCGGCGTTGGGAAAGCGAATGGAGCCGCTCTTGTGGAATACTGACGATCTCATTCTTGCCCATGCATCGGTGCCGCTGCTGTCCTCGGCCTGCATGCACACGTCAATCAAAGACACGACAGAGAGGGGATGAATGGGAGCCAGTCATGACGGGTCTATTTCATTTCAACGTACGGTGGATAGCGAGGGCGCGGTCAAGTTGCACGAACCCATGTCGGACGACGAAGTCTGCTCGGCAGTCCGGTTCTCAGAGCTGCTGGATTGATGCGAGCATCCACACAGTGCAGGACACACGTGCTTCTGGGTGACCGCCCACCTGTTGGTTTGCAGGTAGAGGTGCCACGTGGCCCGATCGATGGACATGGTGCTCAGCAGTGATGCGTACTGGATACACCACACCACACCAACACAAGATCGATACACATGAATGAATGCGCATTTGTGTGTGCCGTCCGCGCGTGAATTCGCACCATTTCACTGATAGCAGAGTCGTTACCAAGTGCGTACTTCACCATCTCTCCCACGCAGCCCTCCTGAAATATGCCCATCGATGAATGAGCACCGTAGCCAGTGGTCGCGTATCCAAGACTGGCTCTCCCTAACCTCTCCCACAAGCTGCTTGATCCGAGTATTTGTCGCCGACCGAAAGAGCGTTTCGAAAGTGTAGCCAAGGATGGAAACTGAGGCCGAGCTCAAGCTGCGACACATGAGCGGGAGAACACCGTGACCTACAAAGATGGAGAGCTGCATATATGACACACACGCGACATACATCCATCCATGGGCCATCTCTCAGCTCTGTCTACTGGTGGCACCTGTTTGCTAGTCGCTTCGGTTGCTACTTCCAGAAAGATCTTGGTGGTGTAAACGTCGTCAAAGTAACACGGATGAGCTCTGTAATCAGGAGGAACATCGACGAAGCGCATGATGTGATGGACAACGTCGGCATCAAACATCTCCTGGATATACTCATCACGCTCTGAGCACATGGCCACAGATATAGGTGTAAGCACAGGCGGTCTATTTGTCTGTCTGTCTGTCTCTTTGTCCCTCTGTCTGTCTGACCTCGAGCGCTCAGGCCAGCACGGCTGAAAGAGACGAGGAAGGCGTGGAAAGCTGACAAGGCGTTACGGTACAGCACGCAACCATGAGTAAACGGAAGCGACAGGATCCTCTCGCATTCGGTGAGGAAATCGCTCTCCCGCAGCTGCAGCTGCAGCTGCACCTCCCGCAGATCATCCGCATTGGCTGCCAGGAGACAGATGGATGCGATGCGCCGTCCGTGGACGAGCGTTGCGCTGTGCCTGTGTGCCTGTGCTCTGCGGCTGACCTGAGGTGCTCCTTAGGATATTGGCTATCGCCCCCATGGCGTTCGTGGCCTCTTTCACTCTGACCCTCTCCCTGCATTTGAGCGCCTGCACCAGCAGCGGCACGACGCCATGACTCAGGAGTTCATCGAAGCAATCGTGATGCTCCGTAACGTCGAAGATGAACAGCACCGTCTCGAGGGCAGGCACGATGGCGTCAACTTGCGACTCCTGTAACTCCCGCGACGCGCCGATGGTGCGCTTCAGGAAAGCGGCCAGTCCGGGTATCACATCTATCCTGTGAACGAACGACATCTCAGATGTGCGTCATCGACCCACTCATCTGTCTGTTCGGATCCTTACCGTAAGAGTGCGCGCACCCCATCAATGCCGGTATATGCCACGTCCAGCAGTGCTCGTGTGGCCTCCAGCTGCAAGCCCGGTCGCTTGAAGTCAAGCAAGAGTTCTTTCACGTCGCGCAGCTCGGCAAGCTTGGACGCAGCCCTTGTTGTTCTTGACGCTTGAGCGGATCTCCTTGACAGCAGCCAGGTCATCTCCCGCGGCGTCAGCGTGCTGTCCACGGCACTCGACTAAGTTCGTGAAGTGGGCTGACATGGCCGAAAGGGTATCGGACAGGGTGGGGTCGGCTCTCAGCTCCCTGAGAGCGAGGACGACGTCGGCCTGGAACGGAAATGAAAGCAGGTGACTGAGTGAGTTGTCCCGTAGGATGTGCCGTGAGCTGCTGGGTACATGCTGCTGGATGTCCTCGTCTGGTAACCGTTGGTCAGCGACTCTTCTGATGGCGACTTCGAACCCGTCCTGCGATGCACCCACACACGGTGGCTCTAGTGCATCGGCGCTTCTCTATTCTTCGAACCGACCTTGTTCATCCGCTGTATGATGGCTTGGCCCACCTTGCTCGTCGCGTCCACCATCCTGCACCACACAAACCATGCAATATGCCACTCTTCTGTCGTCTGCGGCCTACGTACAGCAGCCTCGCGAAGGTCAGCAAAGAAGAATCAACAGATGAGGAATCCATGGCGTCGAGCGCGCGATATACGCTCTGTATGCAGCCCTGCTCCACCATGTACAACAGCTGCAAGGACACACACGACGCGAGGTCGTCTGCGGCGTCCTGGGGCCGGTTGTGCAAGCCGCCTCGCCGACCTGGGTAGCGTTGGCAACGGTGTTGTCGCCGTCAATCAGAGTGTCCAGCAACGATCGGGACGTCCACCCGAGTAAGACATGAAGTTCGTTGACCGCCGGTTTGTCCATGCTTGTGTCCCGTGCGATCCTCCTGTCGAGAGCCCTCAGCTGAGGCACCAAATTCGCAGCGACGATCTTCTCAATGACCATGGCGCCGCCCGCTGCGAAAGGTATGAGAGAAGGCGATGCAGAAAAAGCAATCAGTAGTTGCTCGGCGCGCACCTGTGATACAGTCCCCGATGGCATGAAGGGCATCTTTCACGTCGCGCTGCCAGTTCTCGTCGGGGGCATTCTGGCGCATCGTTGCCAGCAGCGTTGTGAGAGAGCGGAGGAGCTGCCCCTCGTCGACAAGTTGCTTGATCACGCCCGCCCGCTTCTCCTCTGGGACGAGAGCTGAGTCGAACAACACTGTCACGCACACACACACACACACACACGACACAACGATGGTGGACGCGCAGCGCAAGACTGGGAGGCCGCCTACCTGTGTATGGAAAGAGGGGACTGAGTGCCGCCTTGGCGACCTGAGGGGCCGTGTGGCCGAGCAGTGCAACGATGGGGCGAAGACCACCGACACGAATCAGCTCATCGAAGGAGGGATGAAATGTAACCGGCACCAGCTTGTCCAGTGCGAGCACCAGCGTCGCTGCACGCACGTCGCTGCTGAGAGGCCTAACAACAGCCGAGATGACATCTTTCCTGCACAACAAAGAAACGGACAAAAGCAGGACATCAGAAGCCATCGTGATGCATTACGTGCCATACTCCTTGTCTACCGAGTCGATTCATCAAGTTCTGTGATGGTGTTGCTCTGCAGCTTCTGGGCGGCTTCTCGTCGAAGGCCGAAGCCAATGAGCGATTTGCCGAGATCTGGCTCTACTGAGGCGCCTCCACTTCTTATCCCCTGGCCTCAACATGAGCAGCGACGTCAGCAAGACGGGCAAGATCTCCATGGTCCGCAGCCAACCAGATCTCCTGGCTTTATCTATTCATCATGGCACTGTAGGTACGTGACCGGCCGAAGCGCATCGCCGTTCCGTGAAACTCGAGCGAGTTTACATTCATTTCATTCATTGCTTTGCTGCTTCGTTCCTCGTGCACAACGATGTCGTCTGGCGGTGGCGAGTTGTTTGAGCAGCCGTGCCAGGGCATCCCCGACGAGCTGCTGGCCAACGTCGGCGGCACCTTCATCAGCGACGAGATGCGGTGCTCCATCTGCTCGTGGCTCGTGTGGGTGCCCGTCATCACCGAGTGCGAACACATCTACTGCCGCTCATGCCTCGAGAGATGGCTCGCACGGTCGGCAAGACCTGAACAACTGAAAGGAAGTGCTTTTCAGTGCATGTGTGTCTGTCTGTCGTGTGTGTGTCCCGCAGGTCTCGCTCGTGTCCAACGTGCCAGAAGATGCTGACGGGTGCGTCGTGTGTGCAGCCGCTGGAGCAGGCCAACCGTCTGCTGTATCGCATGATAGGCAAAATCAACCTCAAGTGCAAGTCAGTCAGTCAGATGGACGAAGGAAGGCCAGCAAAGGACGAAAGACACGATCTCATCTCATTGGCATTGGCGTGGTGTTTGTATGTGACCTTCCTGCAGACACTACGGTCTGTCGATGGGGAAGAAATACCACAATAGCTCTCATGTTTTATGTATTTTCTTTGTTTCATCTCTCTCAGACGACCGTGTGGCGTTTGAGAGCGCCGCATCCAATACACAGACCAAGACACGAACCGGCTGCGAATGGTCCTCACACACACGCACAAACGAAACCACACACACATGGCCTTACTTATTTCACACGCAGGAAGGGTGCCTACAGTGACTATGCCGCACACCTCAACAAATGCGTGAGGCGGGCGGGCAATGTGTGTGCATCTTGACACATTGCAGACGAGAGGTCGTCTCGCTGGCTGGTCTGTGGTGTCCACGTGCAGGACTTTGAGTTGCTCAAGTGTGTGAATGCCGGTTGCCCCAAGGCCATACCTCGCGGCGATTATCACTACCACATCGCCAAGTGTCCCTATCAGCGCAAGAAATGCAGATTCTGTGGCAAGTGAGTGCAATTGAGTGAGTGAAGCACATACACCTCCACTCACCCACACGCACACGCACACGCACACGCACACACACACAGACAGGGCCCCCATGTGTCCGTTGCTGTGTCGTTTGTGTCGTCAGGTTGGTTGAGGCTGTGTCGCTCGAGGCGCACGCGTCGGAGTGTTACAAGGACATGCTCATCAAACACAAAGACAGAATCCAAACACTCGAAGCCAAAATCAACAAGTCAACGAACACGAACATTGAGGACAGCGGGAATGGGCCCATCTGTGTCTGTGTGTGACACAGGGTTGAGGAGGTGCAGCGCGAGAGCACGTCTGCGAGTGCTGCTGCCGCCCGTCTGCCGCCGCCCCCGTCGCCCTCCCCTCAGCAGCAGGAGGGATACGTGCTGTGGGAGATCGGCGATGTCTTCACCAAAGCACAAACAAGTCTGTGCGGGGGTGGGATGGCGTGGAGAGACATCATTGCAAGACTGATATGTCTGTGCATGTGCAGCCAATCTGATCCTGTCTCCTCGATTCCAGCTGTCCGGCCATTCCTGGTTTGCATCGCTACTCATCGAAGAGAACCCACTGTCGCTCAAGTAGGTGACCACTCTGCAGCCAGAGAGACGGATGATGTGTCGATGGGCTGCCTGCGAAGAATGCGTGTGTTGTGTGTTGTGTCCAGGGTGTCGCTGCATCATGTCTCGTACCATCAGCGGGCGGCGACACAGGACAACACCATGCCTGCCCGGACCCCACGACAGACGGTGAGGAGGGAACAAAGGAAGTGGCAGGACCCCACCCCACATCTTTTCTCTGTGTGTGTGAAGGTACCTGTCAAGACACCTGCTCGTTCGCCAGTGAGTGCGTCGCAGAGCACGCCCAACACCAAGGGCCCTGCCGACGTGAGCAGCATCTTCTATCATCTCATCGCCGCACAGCAGTCATCCTCCACACACCACCAACACACCGGTAGGTCAGCCGGCCGACAGTTGAGTGTTCCATGGGTACGTGTCGGCGTGTGTGTACGCAGTGAGTGACAACAAGCGCCAGCTGCGTGGGCTTGAGGACTCGCACGACCACAACGACCCAATCACTGTACGCAACCACAAGACAGCGGAAAACAACACCCATGTCTCTCTCTCCCTGTGTGCCCTGTCATGTGTGGATGATCAGAAGAAGGCCAGGTGTGGCGATGGCGGTGTGCCAGAGGACGAGGCGACGTATCGCATCAGCTTCGACATCACACTCGTACACCCGGCTGACGAACGGCGCAACGTCATCAAGAAGGTGAGGGAGAGTAAAGATGACATACAGAGAGAGACATGCACATCCCTCTCTCTCTCTCTGTGTCTGTCTGTGTCAGGTTGAGTCGTTTTCGATGACGCGTTCGGTGGAGCCCTTCTGCCGATTCGCCTTCAAAGGTGAGCCGAGAGGGATGTCTCTCCCTTAGTGTCTGTGGCATTGTCGCTTTGTGTGCGGTGCAGATGAGGCGGCGTTGCTGCACTTTGTGGATGAGAGCGGTGTGCTGCGGGTGGTGCTGTCTTGCCTCCGCGTCCACCCCGGCATTCTCATCTTCTCGTGAGAGAGGGACCGAGTGACACACAGACAAACCGCACAGACAGACAAACCGAAGGAAGACCCAAACACAGACAGCACAGCCGATTGATCAACACACTGACAGACCGATGGACAGACAATTTTGACCCAATCCATGTCAATTGCCCCATGTCTCACCTCCATGAATGAGTCCATGTGTGTATCGACACGTACAGACGGACATACAAGGTCCAAAAGTGCACACACCCCCATCCAACCATCGGTCCCATCCCGTCCTACACACTGATGATCCGCAGGTAGTCGGGTGCCAGTGAGAGCAGTACGAGACAGTGGCCCAGTCGCCGGCACACAAGGCCTTGATGCCCTGCAGCACCACACCCACCGCCAACACGCTATACCACACCGACGTGCGCACGTCCGAATCGAAACCGACCACATTCACCTGAACACACCAGCAGACAGAGGATCGCCTGCATCATATGATGTGTGTATGAGAGGTGTCAGTGGATGTGTGTGTCGCCGACCGATAGGGAGTCCTGGTCGTAGTGGACGTAATGCCACCAGCCCCAGGGAATGTACAAACTCTCACCGGCACTGTGGACACACACAGCGCCGACACACACACATAGGCAGGGGCGATACCAAAGAACACCTCCCACTCTCGCCCCGTCCACCTGAGAGTGATTTTCAGTGGCGCTGCCGACGACGGAACGACAGACACATCTGCCGATCCGTTGTTAGCCGGCGCATCATGAGGAACCATATTGGAGTAGAGGGCGCCGTCGAGTGGCATGGTGCCGGTGGGAGTGAGGAGATCCGACTGCGAGTAGGGGTACAGCCAGAAGGTCTTCTTGCCGGCGATGATGTAGTGGAATATGTGTGGGGCGGCCAGGTCCATGTGCAGTGGGGTGATGGAACCCTTGGGGGCGATCCACAGATACTCCACCAGAGAAGCAGCAAAATGCTGAAAGGAATGACAGCCAATCGACCGCGAATTCTCTTCCTCTCTTCATTGTGTGGCCAGTCACTCACCGTCGGCATTGCAAGTCGCCAGTGCAGGTGTCTTCGCAGCCCGGGCAGCTGATTGAACACCTCAATGTCCTCCCGCACGTCCAGCCACCTGCCCCCGCCGCCCTCGTGTGTGCCGTTCCCTGCAGAGAACGCCTGATCCAGTGTGATTGCCCGCTGGATGTCCAGTTTAGTGCTCCCATTGACACTGGAGGGCTCAGAGAAGGCGTCGAGCGTCACATTGCGGGCGGCGCCGAGCCTCCGCAAGAATGCGGGTGTCCATTGCCCGGCCGGCATGAGGGACTGTAGGCCCTTCATTCTGACGGGGATGCAGCCACTGGGGGGAACGGATGAGGGCGGTAGGATGGTGTGAACAGGCTCCAGACGGTCAAGGCAGACGCTGCACTCCTCTTGGTCCGCCTCAACTCTGGCAAGAGGGAACAGACATTCCTCCTTCCCAGCATCTTTCTCCGGCTGGAGTGCCGTCCGCACCAGATCATCCTCACTCAGTGGCCGCATAGCCGACAGAGAGACGAGCACCACCTCCGCCCCTCTCAGCAGCTCAGCAGATCCACACCGGCTGGCCTGCAGCAGCCGGAAGCGCCTCCCAGCCACGAGAGTGAAGTTGCCATGGGTTGCCGTGTGCTGATGCAGTGCAGATGTGTTGGTGTTGGTGTGATCGCACACGTGCAGCCCTGCCGGGCGGAGTGCGAGGAGGAGGGAGGGCACCGCAACCCAGCCAATGCCTATGAACAGCCCCGCCAGCAACACGCACGAAGGACACCGCACCGCTGCTTTTGACAATGTCATCGGATCTTGACGAAGGTCAGACTCGCCTGCAACGCCTTCGCAAGGCGGAATCGGCTTCAAAAGTGTTGTTCCGTTCCGTCAGTTTCGAGGCGACCCGAAGGCGGAAAGCTTCGCAAATGGGTTGCGTATGGAACTTTCTTTCCGCTGTTTGCATGGGATATCGACCAACCCTCATTCATGGAATCCTTATCAATAGACAGCCACACAACAATCTTCGACACGTCGGCAGGCACAATCGATCATGCATGTATCATCCATCAAAAATACATACATACACATGACCATGCACACACGCAACGCAATTATAGCACCGTCCCACACCTTCTGCATTGCCAGATGGTTGCCCCTCACCCAAGCATGCCCTCATCCATTCGGCCAGCCATCGATCACCTGGCCATAGCCAGTGCGCCGACGGCGACATCGGTAACAGAGCGCTCCGTTGCCTTGGGCACCTGGTAGTACCTCCCCCCCGCCGCCTCGGCCACCTCCTTGGCCAGCCCCGTCGACACAAACTTGTTCTCCATGTCGAGCATCACCAGGTGGAAGTTGGGCAGCCCCTGCAGCGCCCTGGCTGTGTCGAGCACCTCGGCCTTCATAGCCTCCTTGTCCAGCTTCTCGCTCTCAGTGACCCTCCCCTTCTCCACACTCTCGTTGAGACCCACGTTGGCCCGCCCGTCGCTGATGCACACTATCACCACCTTGCCCACGTCGCCACTCTTCTGCGCGTTGATGCCCGTCTTGACGGCCACGTTGATGGCGTGCGCCAGCGGGGAGCCGCCACCACACGGCATCGTCTCCAGCCGCCGCTTGGCCATGGCGATCGACCGGGTCGGCGGCAGCAGCACCTCTGCGTCGGTGCCCTGGAACGTGATGAGGGAGATCTTGTCGCGGCTCTCATACGCCTTGGACAATAGAGAGATGGCCGCGCCCTTGGCTGCGTTCATGCGGTTGAGGGCCATGGAGCCGCTCGCGTCGACGACAAAGACGATGAGCGCGCCGGCCTTCCTGGCCATGCGCTTGACCCTCACGTCAGCCTCCTCGATGAAGACCTTCCTCTCCCTGCCGCTGCTGGTGAAGCGCTTCTTGTCGTCCTTCAGAGCCCGCTGCCGCCTCGGCCGCTGGTAGGGGGCGGCCGCCCGCATGGTCGCGTCGACAGCGAGCCGCCTGACCTTGCCCTTTGGGAACATGGGTTTGATGTACCTGCCCCTGTCCTGGCTGAAGATGAGCCCCCTGCCGCCGCTCTTGCCCTTCTGCTGCTTGGTGACGAAGTTGATGAGCTCCTCGTCAATGGGCGTCCCCTCTGCGTCAAACATGAACTCCTGCGGGATCTCGGGCATCTGGTCCTCCTCCTTCTCATCCTCGTCCTTCTCGTCCTCCTTCTTGTCCTCCTCGGTGTCCTCATCAGACGTGTCCTGCTGGGGGGGCGGGGGCGGAGGGGGCGGCGGCTGCATCATGTTCTCCGGCTGCTGCAGGAACACGCCACGAGGGGCGATGACCAGCTTGACGGCGAGCTTGAGGTCATCGGATGTGACGCTGTCGCGGTTGTCGAGGGCCGCCGATGCGCGGGCGACCTCACAGGCGAAGATCTCAGCGCGCTGGCCCTGCACGCCGGCACGGACGGCCTCCTCGCAGAGGTACTTGATCTGGTCGTGAGTGCACTTGACGCGCTTTAGGTACTCGCGACTGACAGACAGGACACAAAGACACACGAGTGATCCATCCGATGGACTGACTGGTCAGTCAGTCAGCATGTGTGTGTCATTGTCATGAATGCACCCACCTGAATATGATTCTGGTCCTGAGCTCGTCCTCTTCCTCCTCGGCCTCCCTGAGCATCTGCTCATTGTGCTTGGAGTTGCCGAACTTGAGCACCCCCTCGACGGCCTGCACCCTCTCCAAGTCGGTCAGCGGCGTGGCGTCCACCGACAGACTCACAGCCAGCCGGTCCAGCAGGTGCTCGCGCATCTCCGACTCTTCCGGGTTGAATGTCGCGACGATCAGAGGGCGACACGGGTACCGCACAGAAATGCCCTCTCGCTCCACCTGCACCCAGCCGTCCGAGATGACCGACAGGAGGATGTTGGCCAGCTCGGGATCGAGCAGGTTGAGGTCGTCGACGTAGAGCACCCCCCGATGTGCGCGTGCAAGCAGGCCTGGCGCGAAGACGGGCTTGCCCTGCTTGACCGACTCCTCGACGTCGACCGAGCCCACCAGGCGGTCCTCCATGACGTTAAGCGGCACCTGCACGAAGGGCGTCGGGATGATGTCCTTGTCCAGCTGGTCCAGCGTCTTGTTCTCCGCCGCCAGCTGCTCCTTGAGGAAATCATCCACCTCCTCGGGCTTGTTGGGGTCGATGTTGAAGGAGCTGCCCTTGACCACCTCCAACGGAGGCAGGATCCGATGCAGCCCCCTGGCCATGACGCTCTTGCCCGTCCCCCGGCGGCCGCCGATAGCCACGCCGCCCATCAGGGGGTTGACCGCCGCCAGCAGGAGGGCTATCTTGATCGGCTCATTGCCAACCACCAGAGAAAGGGGAAGACCTGTGGGCTTGTCGCGCGCTGGGATGGGTGGCGCCGCCCTCTGCTCTGCCTCTTCTGGCGGCGCATCTATGACGGCAGTGGCCGACATCGATAACAGAGGCCTCCTCGGCCGTACTGATGCTGACAGGTGGCGCCTGGGCGAAGACGGTGTGACGCAGGGGGCGAAGCCGAGGCATGACGTCTGGCGGCGCAGTGGGCGGGTCGCTTGACATGGTGGGAAGGGCAGGGAGAGGGCGAGAAGCAGCGCGGCGCACGCAGCGGCTCCTCTATGAATAAACATTCAGATCTTTTAAGATCTTAGCTTTCCCGCCAGGCAGATGTCATTCAGCAGCACCAGCGGACGCGCATGGGAGCGGAGAAGGCACTTTTCTTCGAAGGCCAGTTTCGTCTGCGAGCTTGAAGCGATTGCAGAAGGGGACAAGAGGTCGGCGTAACGCTGTTCCTCTTCTGTTCTTAGCAAGAAATGGCGCAAATACAGCACTTGCCTGTTGACTGACTCCTCGTCCATTCGATTGGGAGCATAGCATGCTGGGCGGCAGCTACCATGAAGCGGGGAAGCGACCGCGAGGCGGCGTCATTTGCTCGTGGTACGTTGAATCACGGCACTCCCCAAGGCAGCAGCGTGCGCAGAGGCAGAAAGCGAGGCGGGCAGGATAGCGCCACGAGGCACATGCAGACAGACATGCAGAGTGAACCACCGTGAATACATGTTCATTTCGTTCGTGTCTGCCGGCGCGTGTGTGCGTTGGCTCAGGGGCAGTGGCGAGATGGGTCAGCTCGGCTACGGCACCGTCAGGCTGGCGCGAGACCCAGGTATGGCGCGAAACGGTGGCAATGTAGCTGTCCTCCTAGACTGCACACACCCTCCGCGTGTGTGTGTGTGTGTGGTTCAGACGGGTACCCCTTCCAGCCCACCCCACACGGCGTCGACCCCCGCCACTTCGACCCCGACAGCCCCCCGCCGTCCGTCCCCGACCAGGACAACGCGAGACAAGACAACAACAACGAAGACACAGAGGACGCTGACGACGACAACAATGACGACGCACAGGCCCCGCATGCGCAAGACCAGGGCGAGGCCACCGCTGCTGCTGCTGCGGCAAGTGCGCAGGGTGGTACCGACGGCAATAATCAGGGTGAAGAACAGGGGCAGGGGGAGGGTGCCGGAGAGGAGAAGGTCGCTGAGTGGTTGTTGCGTCGGCCTCCTCACCGTGCGGCGCCGGTGGTGCGTCAGATCAGCGGAGGTGACGGCCACACGGCAGCAGTGACGAGCGACGGGCGGCTGTACACCTGGGGTGCGAGTGCGTGTGGACAGCTCGGCTTAGAGGACACCTACAACATGTAAGTAAACAAAGGGAGAGACAGAGACAGACGACGGCAGATGTCAAACAGAGTAGCGAGCAGCTGCCTTATGTATGTTTGCCTTGCTTGCTTACTTGGCTCTTCTTAAAGGCCTAGAGACCAGGAGGGGTACCCTTACCTCCCTGGGCCTCTGCTGGTCGAGACGCTCGTCCGGCTCAACCGATTCGTGACGTTCGTAGCGTGCGGCGACGCGCACACGGTGGCGCTGACCATGGAGGGAGTCGTCTATAGCTGGGGAGGTCAGCATTGACACACACACGCATGCACGCGCAATGCATTCGTGTGTCTATCATCACATCTGTGTGTGACGTGTGGTGGTCTACTAGGTGGTGGGTGTGGTCAGCTGGGTTTGTCGGAGACGGGCAAGATGCCCAAGGACGAGGACAACTGCCCCTTCCAGCCCGTCCCGCGGGCCGTCGAGCACCTCTTCCCGCAAGTGGTCATACAGGTGGCCTGCGGCAAGGCACACACCGTCGCCGTCACCAAGACAGGTACAGACAGACAGAAAATGGCTACCAAGCATCGAGCCATCCATCAGTCACAAAGCCGCCAAATGTGTGTGGCGGCTGGCTTATCTGTTGTTTGTGTGTGTACAGGTTCGATCTTCAGCTGGGGTGCGGGTGCGTGTGGGCAGCTTGGACACCCTGAGACGACCACCTTCCCGCGAGACGATGGTGGGTCTGGTCTGGTCTGCGATGCAGACTTACTTGCCCCGTTAACCTCTTGCTGAATACCTCTGTATATGGTTGTATTGTGTGCGTGGTGGGCATGCATGGTTTTCATTCAGACGGCTACCCCTTCCAGCCCATCCCACGGCAGATTGACTTCTTCCGCAGCAGTGGCAGCAGTGGCAGTGGCAGCGGCTACCAGCCATTGGCGGACGAGCAGGACGGCCTGACCGCCCTGCATGCCTCGTGTGGCGACGTGCACACGCTGGTCCTGACCAAATCGGGCCTCGTGTACTCATTCGGCGGGGGCAACTTCGGCCAGCTTGGGGTGGGGGCCGACATCCTCAACAGACGCGACAAACGGCAACGGCGATTATACGGCAACAACAACAATAACAACAACAACAACAACAGCCAGCAGCCGCCCGCCCAGCAGTCGTCCGACACAGGGGCGCCCGCATGGACGCCTGGCGCCGAGGCCAACGACTCGCCTGACAGTGACGGCAACGAGGGAGGCGGGGAGGATGGGGAGGACCCCGACGATATGGAGGAGGAGATCTACCCGCTTGACGTGCGCACCAAGACCCCTCTGGGCGACTTCGGGCCGCTGGGTTGGCTGCCGCTCGACCAGGATGGCTGTCCGTACATCCCGACGCCGCAGCTGGTCGTCGACCTGGTGGACGCCGTGCTGGTCAAGTGCGGCGATAGCCACTCCACGGCCGTCGACAAGAATGGCCGACTGTATGCCTGGGGGGCCGACTCGTGCGGCCAGTGTGGCCTGGGGGAGATACCGGTAGGTACGCAGGACAGGACAGGACAGCGATATATGGATGGACGGGCAGACAGCCAGCGATGGATGGACACACGAATGGTGTGCGTGTGTTGGCTTGTGGGTTGTTTGTCTGTATGTCACAGGATGATCGCATCAAGCGTGACCGTGACGGCATTCGTGTCGTTGTCAGCCCCATTGTAGTAGGTAGGTGAGGGAATGAACCACACCCATCCATCCCATGGGGGCAGGGCACCTTAGCCAGTGCTTGCTTGTGGGTGTGGGTGTGTGGGGGTGTGTGTGGGTATGCTGGCTGCTTGATTTGTTCATTCAGAGACGCTGGTAGAGGCGGAGGAGTTCATAGTCAGTGTGGCGTGCGGCGAGGGACACACCGTCGCCCTCACACAGGACGGAGACGTCTACAGGTCTGTCCAGATGCATTTGAGAATAATACACTCAGACAGCACAGCACACGGGCACACCACATCCAACTGGTCTCCGTGCGCGCGTGTGCGTGTCTGTCTGTCTGTTTCAGTTGGGGTGCGTCGTCCTGTGGTCAGCTGGGTTACCGTGAGGCTCTCGATCCCGCCACTGACCCAGGCGGATACCGATACCGCCCCACACCCGCACTCATCAATGACGGTACGTACGGTCGGTACGCACGAGCCCACGAGCACACCGATTGATTCGATGCATTCATTCGTTCAACCACGTGTGTAGTTATGTTCCCTCCCTCCCCTCTGGTGTGAGCTGCGGTGCGCAGGTTTCGGTGGCGGCAATGTGCTGTCGGTAGCTTGTGGCGGTGTGCACTGCCTGGCGGTAGTGGAGGTTGAGGAGCCCCTCGCCGACTACATGCACCGGCTGCTCACCTCCGAGACCCTCAGCGACGTCTCCTTCCGCATCTTCCCCTCACACACTACCACAGGCTCACCCCTCGCACCCATACCTCTCCCGACAGTCATCCCCGCACACCTGTCCGTCATCAAGGCACGGGCCCCCCACCTCTACCAGTACCTCACCGCGGGATGCACTCCACCGATCCCCCCCATGCCCACTCTGCACATCGGTGCCCACCCCTACCAGCACGACGCGGCAGACCTGCCCCCTCCCTCGCCACTCGGCACTCGTCCGGTGCGTGCCAGTGGGAGGCAGCGCGTGTGGGACACCAGCAGGCTCGGCTCGGGGGGCTCGCAGCCCTCACAGAAGAAAGAGGAGAGGGACAAGGCGGAGGAGGGCGGAGTGGCGGATGACGACAAGGGCGACATCGGCATCGGCATGAGCATGAGCCCCAACGGCAACAACAACAACAACAACAACATCAGCAGCAGCAGCAGCAACGATGCGATGGGTGGTGGTCTGGTGGTGGACTTCGTGGGTCTGCGGCCCGAGGTGTTTGAGGAGCTGCTCTACTTCCTCTACACGGACCGGCTGGACCGCCTGCGGCTGCCGAGCGAGTCGCCGCCCCTGACCATGTCGTCGGACCGCATGCAGACCATCCTGCAGCTCTACCACCTTGCCAGACACTTCGCCATCAAACCCCTCAAACGACACACACAGAAGCTCGTCAAGGAGACCGTCAGGCTCACATCGCCCTTCGGCGCCAGCCTCGGGCCGCCCTCGCAGCAGACCAGAACCAAGACCAAGGAAGGGTCGCGACGCGCAGACGGCGGCAGTGGGGGCGGGGGCACTGCTGCTGCTGATGGTGGTGGTGGTTCAGAGAGGGAGGAGGCCCGTGAAGCCGATGATGACGAGTTGACGGACAAGGACAACTTTGAGAAGGAGGAGCCTGAGGAGACGGAAAAGGCCCCGACATCCTCCACGCAAATGAGTGAGTGAGACACACACATGTAATGCAATGCACACCAAGGCAGGCCACATGAGTGCTCTCTCTTTGTTGCTGTGGTCCATTCAGGCCGTGGTCGTCCGTCGAGCGCATCGCGGCAGCGTCGGGACCCCCCACCAGCCCCAGCAGACCGATCCACCGACCCACACCACCCCACAGCTCTGTCGACATCCTTCCTCGACTCCCCCTCCTACCCGACATCGCCCAGCGCCCCATTTTCCCCTTCTGACGCGCCACCCAGCTCGCCTGCCGACCACAGGCGGCCCTTCTCGCTTGCGGCGTACCACATAGCCCGCGATCTCCGTCGGAAGGCCAGGGAGACGATGACAGAGGAGGACGAGGAGAGTGAGGCTGAGGAGTGGGATGGCGGTCCTGATATAGAGGCAATGCGACCCACGATGTTCCCGGTGCCGGCGTTCGACGGTGTGTCGAGGAAGCCCGACTTCGGTGTGGGTAGACTGGGCGGTCTGGCAATCGGTTCGTCGGGCCTGCTGGCGCAGCAGGAGGAGGAGAGGGAGCAGCGAGACACCGTCGGCCTCAGAAAGGCAGCCGCAGCTGCAGCAGCTGCTGCTGCTGCAGCGGTCGATTCATCCCCACTAGTCCCCTGCTCGCCCCTGCTGCCGACTGACCCCTCCCCTTTTCCGTCGCCGTCGCCATCGCCATCGCCATCGCCATCGCCTCCGCATGGAAGCCCATCTGACAGTGACGGCCAGTGGGGTGTGGTCTTCCTGCCGGACGGCATGGCATTGGTCCTGGACAGCGAGACCTACCGGACCACTCTGCGGAAGGGCATCCCTCTCCGCCTGTCGTTCGCCAACGACCAGCAGCAGCAGGAGCAGCAGGAGCAGCAGCAGCAGCAGGAAGAGGTGAAGGAGAAGAAGGAGATGAAGGAGAGCGGCGGCGCGTTGGGCGGGAAGAGCGGAGCCCGGAGTGGGGGTGGAAAGTGGTATGTACCGCAGTCGGCGCCGGCTCCGGTGCCTTTGGGTGTAGATGAGGATGAGGAGGACGTGCGGGAATACTGGTCGTCTTCGATGGGGCTGGAGGGAGCCCTGGGGTGGCTGCTGGGGGGAGACGAAACGGCTGACGTAGAGATTGTCACAGCCGACGAGGTAGGTAGGAAAAGCGAAGGAAGAGCTGCCTGCACCGGGGGGAGGGAGCCCTCTCGCTGTCGAGATCCCGCTGTTTGTCGTTCGTTTGTCAGGTGTTCCTAGCTCACCGGTGCATCCTCGCGAGCCGTTCAGCGTACTTCATGGCGCTCATCGGCGGCGACTTCCGCGAGAGACACCAGAGGCAGTGGGACTTGCCTGTAAGCACAGCACACACAACGCAACAAACGTGGGTCTGGCTACGTATGTATGTTATGTGTGGCTGCACGGCACGGCCCGCAGGACATATCGGGGTCGCAGATGTCGTCTCTGCTGGCGTTCCTCTACACTGACCGGTGGGGCGAGTCGGTCCAGGACGCACTCGCACTCATGCCCATCGCTGATAGGTATATATATGGGTGGGTGAGGGCGTCACCACACACACACACACACACCCTCACGTGAGCACACTCGCCCGCCCAATGCTTGTGTGTGTCGCCATCTATGTATGTCAGGCTGGCTGTGGGTGAGCTCAAGAAGCGTTGCGAGCGTGTGTTGATCGAGGGCATCACGCCCGACACGGCCGCCACCATCTTCAACCTCGCTGACCAACTCGCCGCACCCCGACTCAGGTGCGGTGTGTGCGTGCCTACCGACACACACGAATGAACCATCTTTCTTAAGACTCTTGCTGCACGTGTCTGTGTTGGCGGTGGTGTCCCTACAGGAAGCATGCTCTCCGGTACATTTTGGAGCCGGAGCACTTCGACGTTATCAGCTGCTTGCCGTCCTTCTGCGAGCTGGACAAGGGGCTCATCATCGAGTGCCTCAAGAAGCGCAAGACCAGCACACACGCCAAGCAGCTGCAGCAGAGGTACTCCCAGTCCCAGCCACCCGGGACAGCCAACGGCAGACCCAAGGCCGCCATCCCAGGGGCCAAGAACTTCCTTCGAAACCCACCACCACCACCGCCACCCACCCACACCAACACGACTGCACCAGCCGGAGCACCAGCACCAGCGCCAGCTGCAGCTCCGGTAGCAGCAGCAGCAGCAGCAGTAGCAGCAGCAGCAGCAGCAACAGCCGGATCAACATCGGCGAAGCAGGTCCTGTTGCCTGCGGCTGCCCCTGCTTCTGCATCGGCACCCCAACCCGCCCGCACACAGTCTGCCGGGCCTGCAGTGCCCTCCTCTTCCAACGCATCGCCGCCCTCATTCTCACTGGCCAGTGACCTGCCCGGGCCGTCCTCGCCATCTCCGGCTGCAGCCGGTGCCCAGCGGCCACCGACGCCCTTCTTCCCCCCGCCCCCGCTGCAGCGGATCAACGCCCCTCCCCCGGACTACGGAAGCGGCCCAACCGGCGGTGGTGGCCTCAACAACAAGCGGGCCACATCGACTGCCGGCACCACCGCCAACAGAAGACACATCGACCACCTCAACATGCCTGTGTCTGCGTCTGCGTCCGCCTCGGCCTCAGCACCAGGATCGTCTGCCAGCGTATGGGCCGACATCTCCGCGTCGGTATCGGAGTTGATCGACACAGCACAGCAACAGCGGCAGGAGGAAGACGAGCTCCCCGAGGCCGAGACAGTCAGTCTGGGCATGAACATGTACCGCAGGCCGGGTGGGGGCAGTGGCAGTGGGGGCGGGGGAGGTGGGAGTGGTAGCTCCTCTCACTCTCACTCTCATCCATCCTCCCACTCGCACCCCTACGGTGGTCGCAGGGTCACCAATACCCACCATGGGAGCCACACACACGGCACCAGCAGCACATCCAGGCGATCGTCGCGTGACGGGCGTGACGGGGGCGGGAGAGCAGGTGGCTGGGGTGCATTGGGTCACGCTTCAGAGGGACGACATCGTCAAGCTAGCTTCAGAGGGCAGGAGGGCGGTGCTGGCGATGGGGATGAGAGCAGAGACGCTGACTATGACGGCTGAGGCCGACTCGTGAAGGGAGACGGACAGACAGACGGACGGACGGACGGCACTCGTTGTGTTGTGCCCGTCTGTCTGTCTCGTCGGATTGCCCTTGTTAGCGGGATAGATGGAGGGGTGGATGGATGGATGGATGGATAATGGGGGGGCGTGGCTAGTTGTAGGTAGCACACATAGATGAGAAGCCAAGGAAGGCAGGCAGGCAGGCAGACAGGCAGACAGGCGTTGTCCATCGGAGATGCGATACCGATGCCGTCTCGTCTTGTCTTGTCTCGCCTCTCTTCCTCTCTCAGTCAGCTGTTTTGCTGACGGCTGCTTAAGAAGAACTGGTTAGCTGCTTAAGACGAACTGGTTAGCTGCTTAGAAATGCGATGCGTGTGTCCTATCCCTGAGTCCCTGGGTGGGCAAGGTAAGGTGGGTGTGGTTAAACAAGCGACATTTCTTGCTTCGATTCGATGCATGTGGCTTGCTGAAGCAGATCAGATCCGAAGCCTTTCTCGTGTCACGAAACAAACAAGTCTCTCACTCACGAGTCAACCCACCCAACCATACACTCACAGGCACTCTTATCCATCATCTCTCTCATCCCATGGGCTCTCTCTTGATCCGTCTGGCGAGTCTCTGTCGGTATAAGCTGGCAGCCCAGTCCACCGAGGCCTTCTTGTCTTCAGCAGTGCGTCGGGCATCGCCCTTGTCTGCGGGCCCCCTGGCTCTGAAGAAGGTCGGCCCCTCGGCCGTCATCTCGTCCTCATCGGATGCCTCGTCTGAGAGTGCAATGGATGGATGCCATCGATCGGTGGGAGGGGTAAGACAGAGAGAGACATCACACAGGTGGGTTGCGTTGGTGTGTTGAGTCTCTCTCTCTCTCTCTCTCTCTCTCCCTCTCTCTCGGTGACTGACCTGCCTCCTCATCCTTGACGTCCGTCGTGCCGTTGAGTGCCATCTCAGCGTCATAACCCACACCCACCTGACGACACACGACAAAGCACACACGATCCATCCATGGTCCATCACATCCATGGCGCGCTCACCTTTTCGCCCTTCGTAACACCGGAGCCCCGTCTCTCCTTAGCCACTGCCGCCTTATCTCCCTCCCTCGGCACAGCCCCACCAGCACCACCGGCCCCAGTGGGCAGCGGCCCGAACTGGTCGAGCTTGACGTGCGGGATGGGCAGCAGCTGCAGCGTGGTGAGGAGGTAGTCCACCAGCTCCATCGAGAAACCCCGCGCACGCAGCCGCTGCATCTCCAGACCATCGGGGGCCAACGACGGCAGCAGGAACTGCAGGTCCTGCAGCGCACGCGGGATCACCGCAGGCAAAAAGGATGAGAAATCCGCCTCGCCCTCGCCTGATTGATTGGTTCGTTGCCCAGCCCACCGACACACACAGACACAGACATGGATGCCCCCATCCCAGTGAGATACAAAGGAAGGCGAGCCCACCGGCCCGACCTGACCTTGCTGCATGGCCCCCTGGGGTGAGAGGAATGGTTTGTAAGAGAGCATGCGGGTGGTGTCTGGCCGGGCCATGCGGCCACCCGCAACGGCCACCTGGCCCGCACCGTGGGCAGCCGCAGATCTGTCCTCCGGGCCCCTCTCGCGCCTTCTGCTCCGCGGCTCGGGGCCGGCGAGCTGGTCGGCTTCACCCACTGCACCGCACCCACCACACACAGACAGACAGACAGACAGACAGACGTGCAGGAATGGAAGAGAGACAGGTTGCTGACTGACTGACTGACCGTCCGGCTTGTGTATGTGGGTGGCGGGTCCCTTCGTCTCGGTGAGGAATGCGTCTGTGGTGAGTGTGCGGGGCTCCAGCTGGAGAAAACGGTACCGATGCAGCAGCTCGGGCACCGTCTCTGTGTGTGTAAGCCATACACACACACGCACACACACACACACACGCACCCATCATGTGAGCGTCAGTCATCCTTCCTTCCACCTCCCTGGTCCATGACTTACCGGCCGCTGTGGCGACCGCTGGTTGTGCGTCGGGTACGGCGGCGAGGGATGCGACGTACTGCTGCTGCTGGGTGTGGGCCTTTTGTGTGGCCTTGAGTGACTCTCGTGTGGCGTAGGTCTGCTCCAGCCGCAACCACCGCTGCCACAGCATCTCGCAACACTCACCTGAACACACGGACGGACGGAGGAGGGAGTCGAGCATGGCATGTGGTTCATGGCCATGCGGTGCTCTCCTCTGTCCGTCTCTGACCCTTTTCCTTGGCAATGGCCTCCACCGATTCCGAGAGCACCTCGCGCGCAGCTGCACACACGACAGAACGACAGACAGACAGACAGGATCAGATCATCCATCGTGCATCTCATCATCCCCTGCCTACACTCGTACGTACGAACATCAGTCACCGACCGTCAATGTCTCCCATGTCGACGAGAAGGTCGGCCCAGGCCAGCATGAACTGCCCGTTGAGGCGGAAGCGCTGCCGGCCCACCCTGAGTGTGTCCATGACGGCCTCCTTCCTGCGGGTGGTGGTCTCCCCTCCAGCCATCCGCCACTCGCGCAATGCCTGGGCGATCACCGCCTCCCACGAGAACAGGGACAAAGGCAGCTCCGTCGCCTCCGAGAAGGCACGGCGCCACTCTTCCACACCCTGCACCGCACACACACACCCAAGACAATCAATGGTCCCTCCTCCCATCCCCCTCTCCGTCTGTGGCTGGCTGTGTTGTGACTGACGTACGTAGTTTCTCCTGATGAAGTTGAGGTATGAGATTAGGGCGAGAGGCGATGCCGGTGGCGGCTCCTTGCCCCCCGGCCCCTCCTCGCCCTTGTCCATCGGCCGCCTGCCGGTGGCTGGGGCCATGGCGGGTGCGAGTGACCTTGCGATGGCGGCAGCACTGGGGTCCTCGTCGTGCAGCACCAGGACGCTCTGCATCAGGCCCTCATAGGCTTGCAGTGCGCCCTGGGGGATAGATGGGGTAGGCACACACAAACAACACAAGGGGTTAGTTGGGTGGGTGTTGATGGGATGGCTGGTTTGCTGAGTGAGCTGACCTCGAGGTCGCCTTGTTCTTCGAGTGAGTCGGCCAGGACGAGACGCAACAGCTCTGCAGTGTGTGCAGCACGACCGAGCACAGCACCGAAGGAATGAAGCAAGTTGGACGCATCCATCCATTCATCCATCCAACGGGCAAGCGTGTCTGTGTGTGTGTGTGTCACCATCGTGTGGGAGGAAGAGCTCAATGCCGCGACGCAGACACTCAATCGCTGGATAGGATAAGTGCAGTGCAGGCGGTTGTGTTGTGTGCATCATCCACCCAGCCCTCCCTCCCTCCCTCCCATCGACCCGACCGACCCACCTTTGTCGCGCATTTGGTGTTTGTTGAGGAAGTGGAGGAAGGTGAGCCAGATGTCGGGGTGGTACGCACACCCACACATCACCGCACTCTGCAGCGTAGTCATCACACGCTGAACCAGAGACGCCTCCTGACACACAGACAGACACAGAAATGGGTACGGTCAATAGTGTCAGTCAGACTTGGTGTGGTGTGAGCGGGCAGACAGATCAGATCGGTGGGAAGTGAAGTGGACTCACTGCACTTACGGCGAGCTGCATGGGGTTGTCCTTCTCGAAGGCAATGATGGCCTCCCAGCTCTCACGCAGGGACTGCACACACATAAGACGTAAATACGGACAAAATGGACGGACGGGATCCACTCCACCCACACGCGACGCGGGTGTGGGGTCTTTGTATGTTGTCCGGTTGACTGACCTTCTGGTTAGCGGCATTGTCGGCTGTGATCGGTACGGACGGCCGCAGCATGTCCACCTTGCTGTACAGCCCCTGCACCTCCTGTGTGGAGAACCAATCGTTCAACAAATGAAGATGAATGACCCACACAAATGCGCAGACATCGGTCTGGTCTCTATCCGACTGACTGCACCTTCTCTTTGCTGTCTGTCTGTCTGTCTGTCTCACCCTAGTGATGGCACCGGCTGCCTGGTAGACGGGCTCGCACTCGGCTATCAGACGACTCGCCTGAACACACACAACCAACACAAACAAGCGTGCTTACACACATACACACACACACCTACGGAGTCCCTCCCCGCCTCTCCCTCTCCCGCCGTCCGTCCGCACCAGCTGCTTGTTGAGGTTCTTCTCGAACTGGCAGTATGCGCCCCACACCTTGTCCAACGCCCCACACGGCGTGCTCAACCACTGTCGCACACACGGTCACACACACGAGTGAGTGAGAAGAGCACCATCCATCCCGCTCCATCCGATGGCAGGAACCACCCATCGTCCGTCCGTCCGTCCGACCATTTGTGTCCGTCGTCTGATGTCGTTGACGGAGGCCTCAGCCTTGAGCATTCCCAGCTCATCCCTCTCCACCTCGTTAGCCGGCAGCCCCTCGGGCAGCCCTCCCGTGGGGTCCTCGCCGCCGCCCTTGCTCTCTGACTCCCTCGCAGCCCGCGACAGCCGGTCCGCTATGTCCTCACGCGACCTCAGAGGACGGCCGAACTTGCCCACCGACAGCTGAGAGAAGGAGAAACGTACATTGTGTGTCAGGCGATGTGCTGTGCTGTGGTGTGCTGACCGGTCCGAATGGGTCGAGGAGGAGCCCTTCTGTCGTCCCGGACTGAAAGAAACACATACATACATAGAGCGAGGAAAGAGAAACACGGCATGCAGCGTTGTGCCTGCCTGCCTGCCTGCCTTGTTTGTTGTCTTATCCATCCTTGGTGTGCGACCGACGGACAGACATACGTACCTGCAGCAGTGCTGAGTTATAGATACGGACGAGCAGCGAGAGAAGTGCGGCATAGAGGTCGAACGACTGCGGCGTGGCCCCCACCTCATCCACAGCGGTGTTCAGCAAACCGAACAAAAAGGAATACCCATAATGGGATGGGCCGGCGGTGGCCGGCTGCTGCGGGTGCTGCGGCTGCGTCTGGTGGTGGTGGTCGTTGGGGGGCTCTGTGGCTGTGGTGGGAAAGGTGTCTGCCGGGCAGGTGCACACGAAGTCGATGTAGGCGCGCCACAGCTCTGCACAGACACAGAGAGAGAGAGAGTGAGATGCACCACCCGATTCCACGTCCGTCCATGACTTGGTGTGGTGTGGTGTGGTGACCGGCAGACGGACAGACGGCCACCGCACGGCTGTAAACGTCGAGCACACGCCCGATGGCTTCTCTCCGCGGCCCATCCGTCGCCTCTGCATGAGCTTCTTTGTCTCCGTTGTCGGTCTGCTCATCCACCCGTGCCCTCTTGGCCTCAGGCGCCGCTGCTTCTCCTGCTGCTGCTGGCACTGGTACCTGCCCGGAGAGCCACCGCGCATAGCGGAGCCAATAACGAACCTGACACGACGGACGCCAGTCAAGTCAGCCCACCACATCACATACACACAGATGAGATGAGATGAGTGCATTCGCTCGTTCGTTCACAATCCGCCATCCATCAAGGCTGCCTGCCTGCCTGGCTGGCTGGCTGACCGCGTTTGGGAAGACCTCAAGGACGCGTTCGAAGAGGTCGTGTGAGGGCACCTCCTCCACCAGAGTGTCCCATGCCTTCCAGTCGTAGGGGTTCCTGTCAATGGCACCCTCGGCACGCGACACCGCTGACGACTTCTTCTTGGCGCTGGCAGGAGGATGCCGCTGCTGCTGTTGCGGCGCTGCTGCTGCAGATGGTGCCTCAGCTGCTGCCTTGCGCTTATCGCCTTGAGCCCGTGATGGACCGGCGTCCTCGCCGTCCATGGTGACGTCGTCGTCCATGGCCAAATGAAGGCAGATCTGGGACGCAGATCTGCGAGCTTAGCTGGGAAGGGCCGCGTCAAAACCACGGGGCAGGTACCGCTGATTGGGGCATCCAGACTCCCACACCCTGGCAGAAGATAGATCTTTCGATTGTCATTGTCGGCTATCCCTCGTCATGTATTTCCTCACCCCCTCCGAGTCGTCTGTGTTGGATGGGCAGACGTCATGGCTCAAGGGCAGCGTCCGCAACACCTTCATCAGCATCCGCAGCCCCCTCCCCGCATCCGCAAGACGCAGATGCCTCTCACTCTCGCCACGCACAATCACAGACGCCCCGCACCACCACCAGCAGGACCACTTGCACCACTGTGACCCCTTCGCCCGCAATGCCACCATCTTGATGCACAGCGTGGCCGCGTCTGAGTGCATGGCTGTCGCGAGAAGGGAGGGCATGGCGCGGCTCCGTGACGACACTGCCATGTACTGGGAGTTCCGGGCCATGGAGCAGCAGCAGGAGCAGCAAGCGGCAGACCACCACGGGGAGGGGGAGGGGGAAGGGCAGGGACAGGAGCAGGAGGGCAAGGCGATGCTGCCGCCTCTGCTCAAGCAACACCATGACACGGACGGAGAGAACGGCGGTCAGTGAGAGAGAGAGAGACGACTGGCAGGCAGGCAGGCACAAACCTTTGTTGTCAATCCACCATGCCATACCATGTCTGCAGATTGCTGCCACCCCGAGACCCCCTCGACGGTCGAGTCATCCTCCTCCAAGAAGCGCAGACGCAAGAAGCACAAGAACAAGAGCGGCACCATCAGCGCCCACAAGACACCCCAGAGGACCCCCACCGAGGCCCTCCTCTGCGACGACACCGACGACGAGGGCGACAGCCCTGCAGACCTGCCGGGTGGCACCTCCCCTTCCCCCTCACCCAGCCCATCTGCGTCGATGCAGGAGCGTCTGGATTTCTGTGCGCGTCACCGGATGCGTGTGTTGTGGTTTGAGGAGGTGGAGGGGGACCTCGGCAAGATCAGCTACGGCGACTATGACCACATCGTACCCATCAATCCTGGTACGTTACGTTGGCACGGCACAGACAGGTGGGAGTGGTGTGGGCGGATGGGAGGGATGTTTGTGTGTGAGTGTGTTGGTTCCATGCGTCGATGTGGTAAACTTGGTTGTAGGGAGCGCGTATCATCTGCTGGGTAGCTGCAAGCAGTGCGTGTTCTACTGGACCAAGGGCTGCATGAACGGCGCCTCGTGCAGCTTCTGCCACTTCCATCACCCACACAAGAAACAGTACAAGTGCAAACGCAGGGTCCGCACAGACTCACGGTAAGTAAGGAGGTCTCTCTCTCTACGTGTGTGTAGCTATGGCTGGCCACACCATGTCATGTGTGTGCTGTGTGGTTTGGTTGTGTGTGTGTCAGGCCAAGGATAGCAGTGACAGGTGACCACGGCATCCCCGTAGCCTCCCTCCTGCCCCCACCCCCACCGCCACCGGGGCCCCTCCCCCCAAGCCCCAGCCACTCACACTCACACTCCCCCCACTCGTCAACCACCACTCCCTCCGCCAGCAACACACCCACAGCCACGGCACTCACACCCACACCGATCTCGTCGGCCAGCAGCACGCCCACACCCAAGTGCATCCTCCTCCACGCCATGGACACGCCCTCGACGGCCGCCAGTTCGTCATCCCTCCACCAACTCGAGTTGAGCGATGACGATCTTGAGGAGGGTGGGTGTGCTTGTGCCGCTGCTGCTGCCGCTGCTGTTGGTGGTGGCGCTAAGGAGGTGGTGTCGGTGCCGTTTCTGTTGCTGCGTCGTCGGGGCCTGCCGTATGTGGCGACCGTCGAGAGGGATGGGGAGCGGGGCAGTGGCAGACACACACGCACACGCACACGCACACGCACACGCACTCCCTCTCTCACCCACATTCACAGATAGGTGAGGTGCGGGGGTGAATGTGGGGAGGGAGGGCCTGGGGGCTGGGAGGGGAGGCCGAGGGGGCAAGTCTGTGTGTGTGTGTTTGGGGCCTTTGATGTATGCTCGTCCTCCCTCCCTCCCTCCCTCCCTTCAAGAGTCCAGGCCTCTCATGTGTGTCCCGGTCACCCATACAAACATCCACACACACACACACACGTCAATGCGGCCTTGTGTCGTGTCGTCTTGTGTGTGGGTGTGGGTGTAGATGGATGGATGTGTGGGCGTGTTGTGTGAGTGCCAGAGGCAGCGAGAAGAGACGTGTGGCTTGCGGATGACTGACTGCCTGTGTGTAAGAGAGAGAGAGGGGAGGGGGAGGGGAGAGGGAGAAGGAGGCAATGTCTGCCTGCCTGTCTGTCTGTCTGCCTGAGCCGCGGATGATACGGGTCCATGACACTGGTGGGCACGACGACGGGCGCCCTTGACGACCCACCCCTGTTTACTCACGCCACGCCTGTGTGTGCGTGTGTGATGTGTACGTGGCTATCTGTCCATCTGCCTCTCTATCTGCTAATTGGTGCTGGCTGCTCCGTGCGTCCCTCCCTCTGATGTCTGACGTGGGTCGGCGTGCGTGTGTACTACGCCACACATACAGGTCTGAAGCGAGCAACCGTGGCGTGAGTGTGTGGCGGTTGGGGGGACGGGAGACGCACACTGACTGCCGAGTGAATGAGTGTGTGAGTAAATGCCGGGGCTCGGGAGCTTTGGCCATGCTTAATGGGGCAAGAGAGAAGGAGATAGAGACGCGATGGGGGATGGGGACCTTCATGTCCGTCTGCCTGTCTGTGCGTGGTGTGACGTGTGGTGTGGTGGGGTATGATGTGATTGGGCCATGTATCTCGTCTGTCCAGATAGATAGCAGGGCCATTTCAGCTGAGAGACCGGCTGATCCGCCCTGCCTGCCTGCCTGCCTGCATTGCCTGCCTCGTATGTGAAGGGTGAAGACGCAACTATCTATCGCACACACAGCAGGCCCCTTATCTCATCCCCTCTTGTTGCTGTTGGTCCGCTCAGTCAGTAAGGCTTGCAGCACACATCCACCTCATGCACCCATACACACAAGTGCGCCGTGCACTTCTTCCTTCTGTGTGCGTCATTATGTGTCCGTGCGCTGTGCTATCTAAACCGTGATGTTTGTTTGGGTGTATGTGTGTGTATGTGTGTGTATGTGTGTGTGTGCCTACTGATTCATGTGTCTACGCCTGTCTGCTGATGAGGGTGGGTGCCTAATCGCCACACACGCAGGGGCGCTCCTGCGTGAGCGACCTTTCTCTCTCTCTCTCTCTCTCTTTCTGTGTGTGTGTGTGTGTGTGTGCCGGCGTGTGCTTCCGTCCCTGTATCGATTGCCCTCACCCCGCCCCCAAGTAGGTATTCTGTGTCGGCTGTGGGTGCAGTCAGTCAGTCGCATTCCGCACAGACAGGAGCGGGGCGTGCATGTGATGTGTCCTACGTCTGCGGTGCGGTGCGGTGTGTCGGTTGTCACACATTTGAAGTCGACGACGCGCAGCAACCAGACAGGCACGCAGGGGAGTATGGTATGTAGGTCTAACAAATAGGTAAACACTGCACTGCTCTCTCACTTCCTCCCTCCATTCATTGATTCGTGCCTTGATGGTCACAAGTAGGTACTGTCTGTCCGTCTGTCTGTCCGTCCGTGTGTGTGTGAATGTGTGTGTGCATGGTGGCAGCTCGCGTGTGTGTGGTGTGCAGGTCAGATCGCAGGCTGACAGGTAGGTAGTCATCCTTCCTTCACGTGTTCGTTCATGTGTCTTGTTTCCTTGCATATGTGTGAGTGTGTGTGAAGCCGCCGGGCCGGGTGTGGGTAAGTAACAAGGACGATTTGAGCTGTATGTGTCTTGAGATTGATGCTCTCGCTCGCTATCTCGAGAAAGGCTTGGCTCTTCCCTTCCTCTCTCACTGACTCACTACTTGCCATGTATACGTAAGCCAGTCTTGTTGTAGGTCCCTCTCATCTCATTCAGTGTGTGCCTGGCTGGCCTGGACACCCATTCTTCTCGTTGAATTGTGGCATCGCATCCTCAAGCCCCTCTCTCGTTCCTCCTTCCCGTCTGTCTGTCATCCCAGCGTGGATACCCCCTCCCCTCTAGTCGACGCGCTCGTGCTGTTTGTTGGGTGTGCCCTGGCGCCGCTTTTTTTCCAGACGGTCCCATCCACAGGCTTTTTCGTGGAGGGACTGGGTGACTATGTGTGTGTGACTATGTGTGTGTGTAGTGAATGGAAGAGTGAATGAAGTCTGTCTGTCTGTCTGTTCGTCCGTCCGTCCGCGATGTGACTGCCTGTCGACTGACACAAAGGAGGCAGACACACGGCGGAAGGGCGGACGGTCTACACGCCTGCCTGCCTGCCTGCATGACTCACATTTATATATATGTGTGTTGCGTTGCGTGTGAGTGTGTGTTGTGTGTGTGAGTGATTTGAGTAATGCAGCTGATCTGTCGACAGACAGATCAGACTTTTTGCCCCATCCACAGCACAGCCGCGTAGAGTCAGTCAGGTTTGGTTTGACCCATCCATCCATCCATCCATCTGCTTCCTTTCTCAAACGTTTGATGCAGCGCAGCCGACCGACCGACCTCTGTGTGTGTGTGTGTGTTTGTGTGTGTCCATGAGTGCGTGTCTGCCTGTTGGGTCGGTGAAGATTCGTGTGTCGTGTACGTGTGGTGGCGATTTGTTGTGTCTGCTTGGCTTGGGCTGGGTCGGTGGGATCCATGGGCCGCCTGAGTGTGCAGTGGCGAGCCTCGGCCGCCCACTCGTTCGTTTTCAAGGGGCAAATGGAGGGAGGAACACATGTGTTTGCGTTCGTTATGAACGGCTCGTCAATCCGTGCTGACTTCCTCGAGACTCACACGTACATGCAGACAGGATACTCACAGGAGTTTTTCAGCAGCCTCCCTGCCATGGGCTGGGCCGCCCCCCTCCCCCAAACACACGGCCGGGCAGCCACTGTCTGCCTGTTTGATTGTCCAGGCGATCAGTAGTCGGCCAGCCGTGTGGGAGTAAAGGTGCGTGCGTGCGTTCAGCTTGCTTGGGTGCCCTTCGGTGCACGGGATTGGAGATCGGAATGGACGGATGGGGGAGTCGATTCATCCACTCACACTCACTCACACACACACACTGCAGTCAAGTCAGCAGTCAGCAGGCACGTGTCCGATTTCGTATACATCAGTCAGTCAGTCAGTGTTTTGTTTCTTCTTTCTGGGGGGCAGTGGGCACGACACGCGGACGGCATGTGGTGTGGTTGCAATGCATTGCAATGGGGCGGGACACGAACAAGAGAGGATAGAAAGATAGAGAGACACACGGACCAAATGTACTTGCTGATGGTAGGACGCAATCACGCAATCACGCACCAGAGGCCGGCTCCGGCCGGCCACTGTGGGCTGCTTTGCAGCGCAGCCAGCCAATAGACTAGACGAAACAACCAACATTTGATGACCAGACGCCGATACAGACAGACAATCGATGGCTGATAAACGCCATGCACGCGGATGTGATATGTGATGTCCGTCTACTTGAGAACTACTTGAGAAGCAGATACCTCACACACGCGGGTAACTAGCGACTATGGAAGCCAAGGCAGTGTGAACAACTGACTACTCAACACACACACGAACACACCCACCCCACCACCCAGCCCCCCATTGCTCCCTCCGTCTAGTCAGTCAGTCAGTCGGTCAGTCAGTCGTCTTGGTCTCCCTGCATGACCGGGAGGAGGTCGGCATGGTACGACCCAGTAGGCGAGGCCACCGCCATAGCTACCTTCCCACTTCCTAACCCGCCACCCACTACACCAGAGCTAACACCCAATGCCTTCTTGGCCGGCAATACAGGCAACGCACGATCGTCGTCATTCTCGTCATTGACGTTTGCATGGTTGTGAGACACGTTGCTATCACTCCTATGCAGCCGCCCCCCACCCCCGCCAAGCGATGCACTGCTGCTGCTGCGGCCCCTCTGCTGTTGATGGTGCTGCTGCTTGATGGCACTAGCACCGCTGCTGCTGCCTTTGGATGTGTTGATGTTTGTGGTCCCACTGAGATCGAAGCGTGTCAGTGATCCAGCTCTCTTGGTCCGCCTCCCGCTGCTCACCTTGGGATGTGACCCCTGCGTCTGTTTGGTGTCCAAGTGGCCCGACTGTGAGTGCTGCAGGCTTGTGCTGGCGGTGGGGCCATGCTTGGGGGGGTTGTGGGGGTGGGACTGAGAATGATGGGAAGCCGGTGGGTCGTCCACTCCCTCGTTGGCGAGGGCCTCGCTGTAGCCGTCGCCATCGTCAAGGTCGTCGTCGCCACGGAAGGCCTTGTGGGACTGAGACATGTCGACTTTGGACCTGCAGGGAGGGGAGGCGGCCAGCCGCAGGCAATGTCTCTCTGCGTGTGTCTCTCTGCGCGCGCGCGGACGCGTGTGTGTGTGTGTGCGTGTGTGTGTTTGTGAGTCAGTAAGTGGGGGGCTGACCGGTTGGCTTTGATGAAGTGAAAGATTGCATTGCTGAGTTCCTTTCGGTTTCCCAGGCTCCAGTCCTCGATGAACATCTGGATGGGCGGCTCTATCTGCAGTGATGCATACCGACCATACACACGCCATCCATTGACGCGACACAATGAATGGATGGATGGATGGATGTGCGCATGTCTGTCTGCCTACGTCATCCTTGTCGTGTTCCTTGGCGCCGACGAACTCCTCGATCGCACCCATCAGTCCCTGCACACGCACACAGACAGACAGACGTGGCAGCAGTGGTGGTGTGGTGTGGGGTGCGTTGCTGCCCTTCCCCTCGTCGCTTACTTGGTCCAGGTCTGAGACGACGTCGATGTTGAATTTGGACCTGCTCAGCTGCCGCGACAGGTTCCGCTTGGCTATCGCACTGATTGATGAGATGACAGACAGGCACAAAAAGACGTCGCGGTGCGTTGCGGACGGAAAAGCTCGTTGGAGTCAGCTCAGCTCAGCTCACTTGCGCATCCACTTTTTGCGGCACATTGTTAGGAACCTACAGGCATCCAATCCACATTACAGGGGGGG